TACTTCTTCGGGACATCCGATAAAATTAGAACGATCATGGCCTGTGGGCAAGAATGACTTATGGCAACAATTTTTGCAAAAACAAAAAATAGATCTGGTAGGGCTCACCAAAAACATTACCAAAAAAAAAAAAAGAAAGGAAAAAGGGAAAAACCAGAGGCACTTCACAGAAAAAGATGTTTCTGTTATAAACTTGAATTAATCTACAAACTTTCACATGTAATTAATCCCATAGGAAATCAATCTATTACAACCTGTGTCCTATTTTAGCAATTATAAAACTTTCAGGATTACTTCAGTGGCTCGACAAAATGTTAGCTAGAACCATATTTACTCCAGAGATCACATAACAAGTATATCAATGTTGAGATTGAGGACTTCCTTTCCATTCCCTGTGGAATTCTTCTACCTTTTGCGCTTGGACTTCAAGGAGGTCACAGACTGAGAGTTGCTGTGCCAGTTGCGCTTTCTTTGGTTAATGAACCAGTTGTTGATTTGCTTCAGTTGCAATCCTGTCTCCTCCACAAGCTTAGCCTTGTCATCTTCCTGTGATTACGACATGCATGCACATCGACAAAAGGATGAACTTAGGTTATTATTGATTCCATGGCTGAAATGTACTGATTGATTATATATTTGCATTGTTATTGAAAACAAGAAATGTCAAAAACGGAAATAACAAAAGCGCAGATGCTTACAGTTGGGTATGGCCACTTAGAGTGTTGATGCCACCAACTCTTCAGCACTGTAGTTGTGTCTCCTGGCAACTTACCAGCCCTTCTCTTTCGTAAAATTTCCTCCCTGACATCTTCAATCCTTGATTTAAAGCCCTGTTCAGGAAATTACAAAATGTAATATCAAGGATACAATTACAGGCGTAGCTTCAACAGCATTTTGCAGAGAAAGTTTCTTGCTTCATAAATCAACAGGTGTTGGAATGAATGTTAGACAATCACCTGTTTGAGTTCAATTTTCAGCTCTTGCCGGACCCTCTCCATCAAAGACCTCTCGGATTCTGTTGGAAGCAGAGGACCAATTCCCATCAAATCATGCCCTTCTGCCCCAGATTGATCCAGAGAGAAGTCCATCTGAAGGTCATCCTCATCATCTGACATAGTTGCACCAGTTCCTTCACCCAGAGTTGCACCTGAGAAAGAGATGGCTTGTAAGTAAGACTAAGGAGAAGCGCACTAAACAACCATAAGAAACAATGTATTATGTCATATCTAATGCTATTCCCAGGCAATATTAGACAACCTGCTGACTTGCTCTCCTTTGGCCAAGGAGAAAATTTTGCTTGTACTAAACGAAAATCAACTATGGTAGTTTAGTTGTTTGCTACTCATTAATTTTATAAAACTTTGATTTTAATTAGTACATGTTCAAGTCTTACATAGATCATCATAACGTTAAGTTTCCCTTTTCATCTTCTTAACTCTTGGTCTGATGGAGGTACCATGGTTCTTGGTAAGGTTTCATGTCCTCATCCTGTGTCTTCCGTGCGTGCGAGCAAAGTTTTAAACTAATTCAATTTAATTTAACCCAAATGTCGGTAACAGCATTAAGGAAAAAAAAAATATATATATATATATATATATACATTATTTATGATTAGGTCATCGGATCTCTCTGGCTGGGGACTAATTTGGAAATAACAGGGCTCAAAAATGTTAGGTTACTTGTATATATTTTCATCTCCAACATTCATCAAAGCTTGTAAACCATATATATATATATTAAGACGGTATTATAAAGACAATTTTTTTATACCACATTTTAAAACAATTTTTATATGTCATTAAATGAATGAATGCACTCAATATCACGAGACTTACATAAATAAAAAAAATCAATTATATAAAAGAGACGTCAAGTTATATTAAAAAATATAAAAAAAAATCATCCCAAAATCATTTCCATATATATTATACATATGCTTCAATACCCTAAAAACATTCATGAAATAACTTTCCCCATGGATGGATCTAGCGATCTGGACTAATACTGGCATATATAATTCAATAAAATAAACTACTAAATATTTTTGTAATATGATTTAGAAAATAATAAAAAAATATATCAAAGAATCAAATAATGACTCTTAAATTCTAATATCTCGATAATAAGCATATATATATGTAATCACGAAGACAATTATTATTTTCTTCTTTTTGTTTTTATGTTGCATAGTGAAATCATCGTATTCTTATATTCACTGTTTTTGCCTGCCATATTCGAACAATTAATCTTAATAAAAAAAAATTGCTATCCAGCTACTTAAGTCACAATTATCGCCTATACAATTATATATTGTAGCCCATGAAATAATCCAATTAGCCCTCTCCAATACTCAAAACACATTCATCTGGGACCAATACACAAATTAAATTTCATGCATTAATTAATTTTTAGTATCTTTTACAAAGCTTAAAGTACTGAAATGCCACGGGAAAGAATATAAGCAAATCCAGAATAATCCAAAATATTATTCCAACGTCAAATATTATAATTGAGTCTACTCAATATTAATCAACCAATCTCCATCCCAACTGCAACCTAATATACAGTTACATATATATCTGTATAATCTTAATTTATTTTAGGTCCTACACCACCAACTTCTTGGTATACAGATAACAATAATTAAAGCTCACAAGAAACCCATATCTATATATATATATATCAAAGTCTTATCTTCCTTCCCAACGACCCCATCACCAATATATATGCACCCAAGCAGAAGAAACATTATTGTCTTCAAAAAATCAAAGGACTATTAATTTCATCCATGGAGCCAGCTAATGATTGTGATATTATTTATGCACACTTGTTATTAAAATAATAACATTAATTACTATGAAGAAAAAAGAATTAGTTTTTGGTATGGTGATGAGAGGATAGCTAGTATCAACTAACAAAGCAATCAATTAATGGTGATTAAATTAGTCGTAAACAATTAGGGCTGGGGCAGGGTATGATGATGATGTACAGACCTGTAAGAGCTTGTAAGTTGTTTTCAATTTCACGGCAGGCCATGACAGCTTCAACGGCATGGACTCTGACATGTTGCTGAAGCTGGTCTTTCAAAGTACACAGCACTATCAAATACTGTGCCTGAAACAAACCAGCAAACACCATCGACAACAAATTACTTTACATGTTAAACCCCAAAAACTACAGACAAAACCAACAATTATCAAACAAACACAAAAATATTTACTTTCCTTTCCTTTTGCCACCAGATATGTCCTAAAGGTTAACTAATTAGAGCTTGAGATTTTTCTAATTAAATTGGAGGTCAACGTATATGTACCCCAAAAGAAAAAACCAGAAGAGCAGGGAAAATGGATTTTTAATTAGTTACCAGGAAGTTGTCAAGCTCCTGCCTTTCATGTGGGGAGAGAGAGTGATGATGCTGAGAAGCATAAGACCTAAGAAGACTGTGAGACTCCGACAACTGGGCATCAATAAGAGGCAACTGATCGATCGGAGTGGCAACGCGAAGACACGAAACATGTGCGGAAAGGAGCTGCTCGTAAAGTGGGTGTGTGACGATCTCCGCCTTAAGCTGGCGGTTCTGGTCACCGGAAACCGACACTTCCCCACTGCTCAACCCTCCTATTGCACCAGCACTATTCATCATGCCTAGCCCCTGTTCTTGCATTCCTTGAAGCACTAGAGACACTGTTTATATCCACTAACTAATTAAAGTGTATCTATATATGAGAACAAAAACAATAAAATCAAAGCAAAGGGATGTGACGGAAAAGAAAAGAAAAAGGATTTTGTGTGGTTAGGGATGGGAGTGAACTGAGCTATCAGCTTCAGCTATGGTGGTAAATGATGATAGTGTTTTAGAGGGGGAGAGAAGAAAAAAGATGACAGTTTTTTCTCGTTAATGGTGTTAGAGAGTATATCGGGATCTGAAGCACAAAACTTTCTGTGATTTGCGCAGGCTTAAGCGAAAGCATGATAAGAGAAGGGAAAAGCTTTTTGTACTGCAGAAACAGAAGGTTTTCAAAATTTTGAAGAGAGATAGACAGAGGAGGGAGGAAGGGAGAAGGCTATGGAATCATTGCCATGAAAGGGTGTTGGAAGAAGATAAAAGCAAGAGAGAGCACGGATAAAGCTGCTTCTGTGGCCCGAACCTGACAATTTCACTGCTTTATATTTCTCTTCTTTTTTTTCTTTTTCTTTTTTTTTTTTATATTTAACAAAGAAATTATAAAAAATAAGTAATGATGTTTTATTAACAATTAAAATTTTTAGAAATAATAATGGTAATGAAAAGACTTGCAGAATATTTAGGTTAGGAACAATAAACAAAATATAAAAAAAAATTTATATTTGATTATCAAATAAATTAGAGAGAAAGGAAAGAAGAAAAAATGAGTAAGAATTTATTTTATTTTATTTTTTAATTTATTTATTTACTTAAATAAAAAAAAAGAGAGAGATAGAAGGAGAATTGTACCTTTCTCTTCCATCCTCTTTATTTTTTTTCAATTTAAATATATGGTTAATGAATTAATATATAAAAAATTATTAAAGATATTTTGTGGGTAATTTTAATATTTAAAATATTATGAT